ATCACATCCCTGTGGGAAAGAGGACAAGATTCAAAATCTTATTTTATAGATGTGAAAACTGAGGCTCAGCCAGAACATGTGGTCTGTCTAAACTCACAGTCATGAGCTCAAACCAAACCTTCTGGTTCTAAATCTCAAACCATACCTCCCAGATGGGGTTGCCCAAGAACACTGCTTCCCAAGGTAGGAAGACTACTGTGCTGTCATCCTGGAGGCAGTGAAGACCTTGTCTTAAGCAGGCTGGCATGGTGAACTGCATGCCATGTTGCTCTAAGTGTGGACCATACAGGGGCATACCATGGCATATAGCCAAGACAGTGGTGTCCTGATTCACAGATGAAAAAACAGAATCTGAAGGAGATGGAACTTGGGCAAGCTCATCCAGCCAGGAAGTGGCTGAGCTGGGATTCCATTCCACTAGAGGAAAGGGATGTGTGTGTATGTGGTGGGGCAGGCAGTCCTCCTACAGGTCAGAGAGGCAATGTTGTTGTCTAGAGGGGGTGCCAGGGTGGAGGCAGTTCTAGGAAGAGCTTAAGATTCAGAACAAATATGCACAGTTGCCTTATCGATGAGGAGGAGTGAGGACTGGGTAGTCTGGGGCTGACACACGTGGAGAAGTTTATCTCGTGATGGGAAAGACCTCCTGCAGACTCTGGAGAACAGGAAGGACTCATAGCTGCACCAGGAGCAGTGACTCAATCAGACTGACTTCCCACCTAGAAGCCCACACCTTCCCAGCTCAGTTACAGGAAATGTCAGATCCAGAGGACAGCTTACTGACCTCTGGACTAAGGGTTCAATAAAAAGCACAGTGATCAAAGCCAGTACTTCCAGTGTGACCTGGAGTCAGCTGCCTTATTTCATCTCCTGCCAGTTTGGAGTAGGAGCAAGGGGAAAGTCTGGATACTAAAGAGAGATGAACAAGTTGCCAGCAGCCTTTTTTAGACCCTGGATCTCCTGGTCTCTGTCACTGTGGCTCTGTACCATCCTGGACATCTTTTAGGCACAGGGGATGGGTCAGCAGAAAGTAAGGAAACCAGACCCTCCACAAGCCAAGGACAGTGTAGTTGGAAAGGACCTGGAAGGGAATCCCATGCACTTTCCTTCTGGTGTTTGGAGGCCTATATGATACTTCACCACATGGCTCTGCAACCTCTGTTTGAAGCTCCTGTGATGGACTCCTTCACCACCGAAGCCACCATGACATCTATTAGAAATGCTGTTCAGAATTAAATAAATTTTGCTTCACTAAGCTATTGTTCTATTACTTCTAGATTATCCCTCTTGACCACTGGCACATGATTCAAGCTACTTTTTTTTTTAACAACCAGTAGTTTAATATAAATACAATCAGCATAGAAAAACTCAAAACTACGCATACACCAAAACCAGAACGCCAAGTGGGGGGTGGGCAAAGGCACATTTCTGATCTTTTGACTTAGACAGTCTTCAAATAGAATCAACAAAGAAGACAAGTCAAGCCATTTACCCACAAGATACTCATTATACCTCTGGCAATCAGTTGAATGGCACCCAGACATTCAAGTCAGAAACTTGTGTGTCCAAACAACTTCCTTTTTCTTGCTCACCATTTCACATCCAACCAAGCTCCATCAACTATACCTTGTAGATGTTTCTCAAATGTGTCACCTTTTCGATACAACTGCCATTACCCAAATTCTGGCCACCACCATCTGCTGTTTAGACGACAGTACACACCTTCTTCCAGCTCTGCTTTTACCCAGTCCTGCTCCCCTCCAACCTTTCTCCACATTTTAGTCAGTTTTTGAAAAATTCAAATATGATCATTCCTCTTCTATTGGAATTTGTCTTATGACTCTTGGGAGGAGATCCAAAGTCCTTCACATAGTTTATAAGTCCTATTGTCAACAGGCTTATATCTCATCTCTCACAGTTTTGGGTCTCACACTGTAAAACCAGTCAGACTGGACAGCATTATCTGCAGGAACCCAGCCTACTCTTTCTCACTTTTAAGCCATTGCACAAACTATTCTCATTGTTGCACAACTTGGACAAAGCTCTGAAGGAAGCAGGGATAGTCTTTGGATCACTCATAGCATCCTTGAGATTCCCTTTGGAAACTTTTTCATTTGAAATATTTCTTTTCTCACAGACAAGTGGAAAATAATAGTTTAAAAAAACAAGGTTCTCATGTGCCCTCATCCATCACTCACCAATGGTAGGATATAACACACCAGTGTACAAGAGTCAAAACCAGGACATTGGAACAAAACAAAGAGATAAGGATTTTATTTGGATTTAACCATTACTTGCCTGCATTTTTCTTGGTGTATAGTTCTATGAAATGTTATCACAATCATGGGTTTGTATAATCACCACAATGAAGATTCAGAACTGTCCCATCATCCGAATGAAACTTCCTTGTGCTACACTTCATAGTTACACCCTTCCTGCAGCCCTGCTCACTGCCAACTGCTGACTGTTCTCCATTATTTAATGTTGTCATTTCAAGAATACTATCTAAAAAGAATCACAGAATTTGTAAACCTTTGAGATATTTATTTTACTTAAGACATGATTCCCTTAAAATTCATCCAAGTTATTATATTAATTAATAATCTGTTCCCTTTTTTGTGAGTTTTCCAGTTTATCCATTCACTTGTTGAAGGACAGTTGGGTTATTTCCAGTTTTTCTGGCTATTAAAAATGAAGCTTTCAAAAATGTGGTACTTACATTTAGTGGAACATTATTCAAACTTAAAAAGGAAGGTAATTCTGATACATGCCACCTCATGGATGAGCCTTGAAAACATCATACTAAGTGAAATAAGCCAGTTATGAAAATAGATACTGTAGGATTCCACTTACACAAGATGTCTAGAGTAGTCAAATTCATAAAGACAAAAAGTAGAACAGTGGTTGCCAGGGGTTGAGGGTAAGGGTGGGGTTGGAAATGAAGATTTTTTTTTTTTTGGTGGGAGGAATTATTTTTAATGGGTACAGAGTTTCAGTTAGGCATGAATGAAAAAGTTCTGGAAATGGATAGTGTTGATGGTTGCCCAACAATGTGAATGTAATTTATGCTGCCAAATTGTACACCTGATAATGGTCAAAACAGTACATTTTATGTTATCTATACTTTCCTACTTTTTATTGTGATAAAATAAGGTAAATGGCTAGAATATAATATCATGTGTCCTAAGTAATATGAAAGAAAATAAGGCAAGCTAAGAGGATAGACAGTGGCAACAACTCAGATAAAGCTATCAACAGAGGATTCTCTGAAACAGGAATGGAAGACAAAGAGCCTGCCAGCGGCACAATGGAGGGGACGTCGAGGCTGGGAGGGCGCCCAGTGCAGAGCCTGAGGCAGGAGCAGTCAAGGTGTGCTAAAGGCAGCAAGGCGTCTGCTGCACCTCCACGGATGAGTGTGTGTGTGTACACTGGCATGTCTGTGTGTACGGCCAGTATGCACAAGCGTGTGGGTGCATTCATGGGAATCTTTTTCGTTTCTCTGTTGGAAACAAGCATTTCGGCATGACTAACCATGTGTGCCTACTTCTGGCGGCTCAGCAGTAAGAACTGCCAAAACGGAAGGCAACTGAAAGGAGGAACTGTACAGTGTTAAAGAAAACAGCCACCAAGCACAGTGCCAGAAGCCCCTGGGAACTGGTCTTAAGAAGAGTTGTTTATTAATCTGGGGTTGAAGGCCAGGCCTCTGCTGTCCCTGTTCACAAGGCTAACTGGGCCTTGCGATACCAAGTTCAGCCTCCTCCCTCACCCTGACACGTCCGCCAGAGCATCCTGCTGGAGGGCCAGTTTCCTCGTCACTGCATCCCTGCTCTGAAGAAGTCCCAGTGATTTCTTTCTGGTAAATGGATCTGGGGTCTTAGATCAAATGTCTAGGGACTTGACATGATCTGGGGGCCTAGAGGAGACTTTCTGGGAAGTGGATGTGGGCAGGTGGCAGGCAAAAGCCATGCTGAGGGTATCTCTTTCTCTGATTATGCTGGGGCATCTGTGACTCTCCTGGGTTCAGCTGACCATTTGCAAGTGAGACTGTGCCTTTGTTTTCGAAAAGAGCCAAGAAGGATTAGACCCTTGAGCCTGGGCTGCTGAGGTTTCCTGGGGAGGCACAGCTGGTAGAGAACTCTGAAGGCAGATGAAATGTTTGAAAAGACTGAGATGGAGAAATAGAATGGTATTCAAGGAAGGTGATCTAATGGCAAATGGTTTTGACTTATAGAACACACAGAACTCCTGCCAGGAAGTAGAGAGGGATCAGGCACCCTGCCAGGGCCAAGATAGTGAGAAATTTTCAGAGAAAATTCTCCCCCTTGCAAGTGTCTCTTGCAGTGGGAAATAAAACAGCAAGAGGAAGCACACTCAAGTTAATTCTGGCTGGGTTGGTAAGGAGTAGTGACTCTTCCTTTCTGGATCATTAGACTGCAGCTCAATGCCTGCCACTGAGTAAATGTTGGTTAATTGGTCCTGGAGGGCAGTGGACTGTCCAGATATGAGGGTGGGATGCCGGTGTGCAGGTGACAGATGGGCTCTGAGGGGAGAGGTAGGGAGAGAGAGAGCTCCTACAGATCCCTGGGTCTCCATCCGAGTTTACCTGGTAAACTCACAGGCATGAGTGAGCTACGCAATGTGTAGGCCTATTTGCTCTCACAAAGGACAAAGAGAGCACCCTCATAGCCTTCCAGCAGTAACACCAGAAGCCCAGGCACTGGTGACCCCTCTCCCCATGACAATGCAAGTTGTTGTGCCTAGCTTTATTGAAGTATTAACCACACAATGTCATAGCAGTATTTACTTTCCCAAATCCCTTTTCTGGAGGCCAGGAATGGGTCATCCATCTCTATAATACCTGTGCACAGTACAGGTTATACAGAAACATATATATGTATGTATGTATGTTATATAGAAAGTGGGCATGTTCGGAAAATATGTGTTGATTAACGGAACAAGATGAGATAACCATCCTTGACTTTTCCCACCCCAAGGTGAGGACCATGTCTCTGCTTCCATTGCTCCTTCTCCTCCTCCTGATTGTGGTGACAGCATCTTGCACAGAAACAGAAAACTGTGAGAATGTCCAAAAGACCTGCCCTGTGATTGCCTGTGGTTCTCCAGGCATCAGCGGCTTCCCAGGCAAAGATGGGCGTGATGGTGCCAAGGGAGAAAAGGGAGAACCAGATACAGTTTGGGCTGTTCTGTCTCTGTGACTCTGTCTCCCAGAGGAAGCTGCCTGGAGATGTAAGGTGGGTAATGTCACACTCATGCAGTTTGTACTTCTCTCAATGCCGTATTATAATTCAAAACAGAGATACAGCTCAGACTCTCTGGCTTCCCAGTTTTCCACACAGGAATTGGTGACACACAGTGTCCTTCTGGCTCAGGGAGTTGACTCTCAAGGCAGACCACCTGATGGGACAGACGAGGCTTTTCTTCTATGGTCTTTGGAAGCAGTGGCTCGGATAAGTTAGCTCTGGATCAACATCTCCCTCCTCCCAGGAAAGGACTGGGCATCAAGCCTTTGGAGAAATTGAGTAGGAACATGAATATTGAGTCCTGTTTTCTTTGTCCTCCAACAGGCCAAGGACTCAGAGGCTTGCAAGGCCCTCCTGGAAAGGCAGGGCCTCAAGGAATCCCGGGACTCCTGGGTTACCAGGACCAGTGGGCCAAAAAGGAGACCATGGAGATGATTTGGGTAAGGTGTCTACTGAAGCAAGGTTAGGCTGAAGGCCCCTGGGTCCGGGAACTCTGAGTACCATGTGGGAGATGCCCCTTCTCCTGCTGCCTCCTGGGAAGGTGCCCAACTCTGCTTCCTGACCAATAGCCTCAGACTTTTCTAGGTTACTTAGAGCCTCAGGAGATTCTTATCAGTGCCTGACTACAGACTCATAAACCCTCACGTGCCTCCTAGAGAGCTAAGCCCTGGCTCTCCCTCAGTGGAATCAATCCAATGTGCAGCTCTGGTTCAAAGAGGAGAAAAAATTCTCTATGTGTTGGACTTGCTATGCCTATTTTCACAACAGCAGTAGATACATGGTATGTCAGTTATCTTTTACTTCATGAGAAACAAACAGACAAACAAAACGACAGCCATTTATCTAAATCACAATTCTGTGGATCAGCCAAGTGATTTCTTTGCTGGTCTCAGCAGGACTCACTCGTGTGTCTGTGGTCAACTGATGACCAATGGTCTCACTTACGTGGCTGGTTACTGTTTGGCTATCAGCTGGAGTGATGAGGGTAGTTGAGTTCTAAGATGCTTTCTCAACAATGCTCTTTCACTCTGTTTTAATTTTCTAGGTGACCATATTACCCTGGCTGCTTCAGAAAGAGCAGCCCTGCGATCAGAATTGGACCGTATCAAAAAGTGTAAGCCTTCTTTCTTACTTTTCAGGGTGCTTGAAGTTTGGGAACGTGGAAGACAACAAATTATTTCTTGAACATATATAACTTTCTAGCACCTGTATAGGTAATTTTCATAGTCTGATCTCATGAACTCCTCACAACAACCTTACGGTAGAAATAGAGGCAAAGGGAAACTACGTAATTTACTCAAATGCACAGAGCTAATATGTAGCAGAGGCAGTGTATAAACTACAGTCAGTCTGACACCAGAGACCCTGATTCTGTACTCTTTACTATCAGGGTACATATGCATCATGAAAATGGGACCTATGCCCCTTTCCCTTTGTTATGCTGATGCTGAGAACTGACAATGGGGCTTAACATGTTTCTTTTCTGCCCTCCTGGCCTGGGACAAATATTCTCAGACATTTTTTATTTATTTTCAAGTTCTTAGTGGAGTAAAACTTAAGAATCATAAATTATATGTATTCTAGAGCTCTGGTCCAAAAAGACAAAGGCCTGTGTTCCAGTCTGTCTCTTCAGATTAGGGCTTCCAGATTTAACAAAGAAAAAGACAAGACACCCAGTTAAATTTGAATTTCAGGTAAAGAACAACTAATTATTTTTAGTATAAGTATGTCCCAAAATTGCATGTGAAATACTTATACTAAACAAAAATTCATTGTTTGCCTAAAATTCAAATGTAACTGGACATACCGTATTTCATGTGGCAACTCTACCCTAGAAGCCTTTATCCAGACAAATACCTTGAGCTGGGCTTAAAGACAAGCCAGTGTCATCCACATTTTCCCATTTTAGGGCTGATCTTCTTTCAGGGCAAACAAGTTGGGAAGAAGTTCTTCCTCAGCAACGGTAAAGAGATGACCTTTGCTGCAGTGAAGGCTCTGTGTGCCCAGTCCCAGGCCTCTGTGGCCACCCCTATGAACGCTGAAGAAAACAAGGCCATCCTGGTGTTAGCCAGTGCAGAGGCCTTCCTGGGCATCACAGATGAGAAGACTGAAGGCCAGTTTGTGGATCTGACAGGAAGGGAGTTAACCTACCAAAACTGGGATAGTCATGAGCCCAACAACGCTGATTCTGGGGAAGACTGTGTGATCATCTTGAAAAACGGCAAGTGGAATGACATCACCTGTTCCTCCTCCTTCTTGGCTGTCTGCGAGTTTCCTGCCCGAGAGAGCATGACCCTCAGGTCCTCTTGTCCCTTCATTCATCTCACAGGTCCACAGTCTGATTTGAAAGATAAGTCTATATCAATTTCCCACACCCAGTATTGACTTGCCCCTTAATGGAGAGTCAGAGAAAATGAGAAGAATGGGTTGAATGATGAGACATGGAAGTGAGAAATGAGAAGAGACTCAGTGGTGTAAGAGTATCTGGTTCAGACCCAATCACTAATAATAATCACAACCAACAACAACAACAAAATAACAATAGTGGTAGCAGCAGCAACAGTATTAATAAAACATTTTAAATGTTTACTGTGAGTCAGACCCTATATTATAGGTAGAACATTAATTAACTAATTTAATTAGGCTGTTTACTTTTGTTTGAGTAGTGTTATCGAATGTACAAAAATAAAATGGATTTATTTTTCCATTTACTCTAAACACCTGTGCTCCATTGAGTCTTTCTCTTTGGGGTGAAGGCTCCCCTAAATTACATCCCCCTAGCCTAATTTCATAGCTTTTCTGCCAGTCTCAGGTATTAATAGAACCTATCTTGTTGTTTTCTTTCTAAACTATTTTATTTTCTTTTTTAATGAACTACTACACTATATAAAGAACATAAATATCAAGTGAATAGATTAATGAATTCTCACATGTCTACACCCCATGTAACCATCCTCTAGATCAAGATACAGAACATTTCTAGCATCCTAGAAGCCCTTTCATAACCCTTTCTGGTTGATATTCCTGAAGGAAAATACTATTCTGAGCTCTACTACCATATATTAATTTTGTCTGCGTACGAACTTCATACGGATGGAATCACACTATACATACAGTTTTATATCTTGCTTTTTTTAATTCAAAATTAAGTCTGTGATGGTCATTCATGTTGTTAACATCTAGCAGTAGATATTTTATTTTCATTGTCACGTAGGATTCCTCTACATGAATATATCTCAGTTTACTCATCTATTGTTAATAGACACCTGGACTGCTTCCAATTTTTGACTATTAACAAAAAACTCAAGAATATTTCTGCACTTGTCTTTTGGTAGACACACGCACTAATTTCTCTTGGCTACCTACCCAGGAGTAGAATTGGTGGATCATGGAATAAGCACATTTTTAACCTTACAGTCTCACCAGCAAATGTGCATCAGTTCTAGGTGCCCTACATACTTGTAAAAGAGTTGATATTTTAGTCCTTTTAATTTTGGCCATTCCTGTGGGTATTTAATTTCCTTAAGATTTAGGTCTATTTATATTTTCTATGTCTTGTGCAGTTTTGGCAAATTGTGCTTTTTTCAATGAATTTGTCCATTTCATCTGAATTGTTTAATGTATTGGTGTAATGTTGTTCCCAGTATCTTTCTATTCGCTTTTATTGTAAGCAGGGTCTGCAGTCGTGTCTCCATTGCATCTTTCATGATTTTTTGTATTTTCACTTTTCTTGATAGGGATTTGTCAATTTTACTAATCGTTTTCAAAAGCTGCTTTTTTATTTTGGCATTGCTTTTCTCTATTAACCTGTGTGACCAATTTTATTTATATTTGTTCATGTCTTTACCATTTCCTTGTGATCCCTCTTCATTGCATTAAATATGCCCTTCTTTTTCTAACTATTTTTAATTAATATTTAGAGACTTACTTTTCTATGTTTCTTCTTTTCTAATATATTTATTTAAAGTTTTAGGATTTTCATCTGAAGACTGCTTCAGCTATATTCCATGGGTTATGATATATAGCTTTCATCACGTCCTTCAATTCAAAGTATTTTACAATTTTCATTTTAATTTCTTCTTTTACTTGTGGTTTATTTATAGCTATGTAGTTTAATTCCCAAATATTTGGTAATTTTAAAAAGTTATTTTCATGTAATTGACTTACAGTTTTATTCTACTGTGCCCAGGAACATACTTTGTATAGATTCAGTAATTTGAAATTTGGTAAGACTTGGCTTTTATGGCACAACTTATGGCTAAGAATGGTAAATGTATTATGTGCATGTGAAGTAATGTGTTTTCTTCAGTTGATAAGCATAACATTAGGCCAGGATGTTAGTCTCACTGTTTGTAGCTTCTATATTCTTACTAATATTTTGCCCTTTAAAAATCAGTTTCTAAAAAATGCATATTAAAATATACAACTATGGTTGTATTTTTGTCTGTTTCTCATTTTAGTTCTGTCATTTTTTGTTCTATGTTGAAGCCATATTAATATGCAACTACAAATGTAGGACTATTATAATTTTCTGTTTTTAATTCTTTTTTTATTATGAAATATCTTTCTTTACTCTAGTAATTTCCTTTCATTGAAGTGTGCCTTGCCTAATGCTAATTCACTAATCAGCTTTCTTTCATTTCATGCTTGCATGCTAGGTACTTTCCCATTCTACATTTACCCATTTCTGTCCTTATATTCGGGATGTCTCTTTTATTAGCGTATGGTTGGCTCTTTCTGAATATCCACTGTGACACTCTAAACTGGATTTACAGCACTATCATTTAACAGCTATGTGATCATGAGCTAGACTTCCTTTGAATAGTTTAGTTCATATATATTTAATTTAATTATTAATAGAATTGGTTTCAAATATAGCTCAATTCCCTAAATCAATCTTTTAAAATTTTTATTAAGAATACATTGGCGAGGATCTGTAGGAACTATCTTCTCTCTGCCTGTTGCCTGACTCTTTTTCTGTGTTTACTGGAAAGACAGCATTTGGATAATATAAAACAAATAATACATTCAGATTTCTTGTTTCAGCTCCAACTAGTAAAGGGTTTGAAAGTCATACTCCCATTCTCACAACAACAATAACAACAAACTTAAAATGAATGACTCTTCTGAGATCCTTCAGAGAACTAAGTGCACAAGGCAAACTGTCTAGCGATGAAGTCCCTGTCCTCCCACAGTAATTAAAGACTAAAAAAATTAATTCTTCCCAATGATCCCATTTTTCATTTTCTGATTCTGCTCAGGCTGAGCCAGAAGAGTGTCACTCACATCTTGTGGAGCCTGAGTCCTTCCTCAGCAGCCCGGCCTCGAACACCTGCCCTTTAAGCGCTCATGGCTCCTCCAGCCCCTGCAAGTCAGGACTCATGACACACCAACCCCCCTCTTGCTCCACTATTCCATGCTTTGAGGGGTTGGGATGACATATGAAAAGGTCATAGGCCACATTCATGAATGGAAGAAGCACCCGTAGGCAGAAATATGTGACAAATAGAAAAGAGAAACCCTCTCAAACCCATCTTCAGCAGAGTGACACCCAGTCAGGGCCAGTGCTTAGGCCACACTCTGAATTTAAACCCATTTAGGGAAAATTTCCCATTTGGGGGTCATTTTTATCAGTTTCTATAATCTCAGGGGAAAAAGAAAACAGCTTCAAATACTGCTTTTTCTCTCAGCGAGTACCCTTTGCAATGTTACATTAACACGGAAGCTCCTGAGACCCTAGGCTTTATTTCCTGTGACCACATCCTCCACATGGAACCCTTCACCCATATTTAAAATCTTCTCACCTCAATTTCTCTTTCCAGTGCAAAGTGAGGCATGGGGTCTTCCTGTGAACAGCCTCCACTCCCTCCACTGGGCAGGACGTTCCACACGTAATGTGGGGCAACCCTCCCAGAAGAGTTCATGGTCTCATCCTCAGATGCAGTGACCCACCTTTCCCTCAGTTCCCAGCTGGCAAGTCCCACAGCTACCACAGCCTGATGCCTCAGAGCTGCCGCTGCTTCCTCCCCTCCCGCGATGCTCTAAACCCATGGGGGCCCTCACCTCGGGAGGCTGCCTGGATCCCGTGTTACTCTCAGGGACCTGAACTGTCACTGCCACTGGGGGAGGCTTCTGAAGCCTGTGCTTCCAGAGCCCCTGGGGAGAACCCGCAAGCTTTCTGCTGTGGGATCTCCCCAATCTGCCTTTTCACATCTTTGAATTATCAAAGCCTTAGATAATTTGTAGTCTTTTGCAACAGAAACACTCTTCTCTGTCAAGTGGTTTTCTGTTTGCATTCTCTCTCTCTCTCTTTCTTTCTGTTTCTCTTTCCTTTATCCCCATCTCTCCTTTATAAGTTTTATTGCATAAGACCTAGAAAGAATCCTGATTTATAACAAGCAGATACTCTTTGTGATTTGGGCTTATGTCCACTTAGTCTGAAGAAGTACTAAAATAAGTTGTATGATGGCCTTCAAAGATATATCCATGTCCTAATCCCTGGAACTGGAGAATATTACCTTATATGGTACCTTACATGTGATGTGATTAAATTAAAGCTCTTGAGAGAAGGAGATTATCCTGTGTTTTCCGGGTAAGCCCTACATGTAATCACATGCCTCCTCGTAAGAAAGAAAAAAAAAAGGAGTTTGGAGACAGACTCACAGAGGAGTTACACAGAAGAGGAAGAAGAAATGTGTCCACAGAAGCGAAGATCGGGGTTATGCAACCACAAGCCAGTGAACGCCTGCATCCACCAGCACTGCAAGAGGCGTGGAGCACATTCCCCATAGAAGCCTCTCAGGTGAACGCAGCTCTATAGACATCTTGATTTCAGGCTTTTGGGCTTGAGAAATGTGAGCAAGTAAACTTCTGTTGTTTTAAGCAATTTGGCTTGTATTATAATATACGTATGCATGGGGGGCTTTTCTCAGGACTGGGTGAAGAAACTACAGGATTCTGAGGAATGCATGAGGCCCGTGCCTGGAACAGACTCTATCTACACAGTGACCACCAGCAGCAGTGACCCTCGCAAAAGACGACCTGGGAGCTCTAAGGCAACCTCTAGTCCCTCATCTCTCAGGAGCCATGAGATCACCTGGTCATGGAGAGATGAAGGGAGGAAGCTTTGAGCTTGTGAACCCTGGAATTCTCTCATTCCTGGAGGCCTTCAGGCAGCTGATTATTTTCTGTGTCCTCTCTCATTCTCGTCCACTCCTGTCTGCGCTGAACTGTGTCTTCTTGATAATGGTCTCTTAACCTTCTGTACCTGCTTATGCCCATGCTCGGTTCCAGGTCTTCAATAATAGCATCTCTACCAATTGTATTAGCAGGGATGGTTTGTTTCCCTCTTACATTTGCAATATTTTGATTTTGGCCCCCCTTCC